GAAACCAATTTGTGGGGCGCCTGGGTGGCTCAGTCAGTTGAGCGTCCGACTTCGGCTCAGGCTGTGATCTCACGGTCCGTGAGTTCGAGCCCCGCATCGGGCTCTGTGCTGACAGCTCAGAGCCTGGAGCCTGTTTCAGATTCTGTGTCTCCCTCCCTCTGACCCTCCCCCGTTCATGCTCTGTCTCTCTCTGTCTCAAAAAATAAACAAACATTAAAAAAAATTTAAGAAACCAATTTGACAATATATTACATATTTAAAAAATTAAAAATAGAGCTACCCTATGATCTAGCGATTCTACTACTGGATATCTATCTAAAGAAAACAAAAATACTAATTCAAAGAGATATTTGCTCCTCTATGCTCACTGCAGCGTTATTTACAATAGCCAAGGTATGGAAGCAACTTAAGTGTCCATTGATGGATGAACTGGATGAAGAACATGTGACTTATACATACAAAAGAATACTACCTAACCACAAAAAAGAATGAAATCTTGCCATTTGCGACAACATGGCTGGACCTTGAGGGGATTTTGCTAAGTGAAATAAGTTAGACAGAAAAAGACAAATACCATATGATTACATTTTTATGTGGAATCTAAAAAACAAAACAAACAGAACAAAATCCAGACTCATAGATACAGAGAACTGACTGGTAGCTGCCATGCCAAAGGAGAGGGGGGCATGGAAGAGGAAGGAAATTATGAAGTAAAAACTTCTAGTTATAAAATAAGTAAGTAGTCATGGGGAAGTGAGGTACAGAATGGGGAATATAGTCAATAACACTGTATTAACTTTTGTCAAATCACTGTATGTTGTACACCTGAAACTAATATAATATTGTATGCAATTATGCCTCAATTAAAAAATATGTATTTGTCTTTTTATTTAAGCTTCTTTCTAGCAATGAAATATCAACATTCTGGACTCAATAATTCTAAAACTCTGTCCCTGTTACCTCCTTTTATACAGTAAAGCAAAAACCAAGTAAATAAATTACGTATTTGTATTATTTTAATTCCACAAATGTGTCACTCCACACTGTTTATACAAATGTTTAAATATAACACAATAAATGCCTTAAAAAGAACATATAATGCTAAGAATCCCTTACTGAATGATAATCATGATTTCATTTAGGCTCAATTATGATACACAGTAGGTAGTCAATTTCCTTTCCTTCATTTGAGATTTGGAGTAAATTCATATGGCACAAAATCATATGTTAAATGGTAGCTACAGAAATGTAAAAATTCTATATTTTAGTACAAACACAAACTATTGAGGGCATAATGAAAACAATCTCCTTAATACTCATCAAATATTTTATAAGTACACGACAAAAAAATCATCAGGGGCACCTGAGTGGCTCAGTTGGTTAAAGTCCGACTTCAGCTCAGGTCATGATCTTGTGGTTCCTAAGTTCGAGCCCTGCGTTGAGTTCTGTGCTGACAGCTCAGAACCTGGTTCAACTCTGTCTCCCTCTCTTTCAGCCCCTCCCCAGCGCATGTGCCTGCCCTCCCTCCCTCCCTCCCTCTCTCTCTCAAAACTAAAACAAAAAAAAGGGGGGGGCGCCTGAGTGGCTCAGTTGGTTGAACGTCCAACTTCAGCTCAGGTCACGGTCTTACCATTCCCAAGTTCAAGCTCCCCATCAGGCTCTGTGCTGACAGCTCAGAGCCTGGAGCCTATTTCAGATTCTATGTCTCCCTCTCTCTCTCTGCTCCTCCCCTGCTCACGTTCTGTCTTTCTCTCTCAAAAATAAATAAACATTTTGAAAAATAAAAAACATTTAAAAAATCGTCAGCCTTAGTCAAATGCTTTGTAATATAAATCTATTTCTCTTACTTCCATGTATTATTTTCATCCATAAAAATCTGATTCATTTTTTAGAATTAAAACTTAAGTAATTTTTTATTAAGATTACCTATTAGTGAATCATTACTGTCTTCAACTTTATTAGTAACAATCTAGAACACCTGACTTATAGGTGTTCTCCTCTTAAAGAATGCATTTTTAAAATATAAGTATTGCTATATTAATATTTATCCATTAAATTTTTGTTCTTATCTCCTATATTAAGTTTCTGCTATAATTTCTGAAAATATTACAGGAAAATAAAAGATTTCATGACTATTAACATCCCTTTGATAGAACACAGCTATTCTTAAAAAGTTAACTGTGAGAATATACGCAAAATATACTTGAGAAAATAATCAAAGTGTGTTGAATAGTTTGTACATTGATTATATGCTGTTGTACTCTTTGCTGAATTTTATCTTTTAATTAGAACTTGATCCATGAACTGCTTTAGTTTCTTAAACACCCTTACACTACTACAAATGGCACTAATCAAGAACAGAATTCCTTATAAAACTTCCTAGTAGAGTCCTAGAAATGGTCACCATGTGTAGTAAATATAGGTTATATACATGTTAAAAATTCTTTGAAGTTCAATTATCCAAAACTCATATTGAGGCAAAAGGCCTAAAACAAGTTCTCTTTATATATTAAGTTTTTAGAATTGTTGTGGGGAACTCCAGTTTTGATGACTAAAGATAAATAAAAAAGAAAAAGTGAGGTCAGACTTCTTTCACATACAGTAGTCTTTTGAAAACATCACAGTCTGATTAATAGTCTGAGGGCTTTACGAAAACTATAAGAAACCTATGTAGTTTACTGGAGAGCATGATGTTTAACTCCTCCTTCAAAATAGATGGTCCCCAGATTAAGGGACATGTAGTGGTGGGATTCTTTTGAGTCACAGACTGGGAGGGTTGTACAGTGGATCGCTAAATCAGTTAAAAAACTTCTCAGCCATTTTATTATTTCTACTTTGAAAGTCCATTCTTTTCAAAGTTCATTAACTCTCTACACTGTCCAAATATCTAGAGTTTTGATAGTATTAAAATTTGTGTGACTGTAGAAAATAAACTTCCACATTTAGTTTTTTAAGTCACCCATTTTAACTGTACAGTTATATTAATTTGGCAATTGTATGCAGTCCATAATCAATAACAATCGAAACAAAGAAATGTCCATCAGCATGAAAAGCTTTCTTGTGCCCAATTGCAGTTGATCCCCTGCTGACTCGCACTCCCCCAAGTAATTACTGACCTTTATCACTATAGTTTTGTCTTCTCTAGAATGTCCTATACACGGAATAATAAAGTATGATATATAGTCTTTTGTATTTGACTTCTTTCATCTAGCATGTTTTTGAGAATCGGCTATGGTTTCACATATGTTAATCTTTTTTTTTTTTTTTTCTGAGTCCTATTTCAATGAATATTCAGTGAATGACTACATTACAATTTGATTATCCATTCACTAGTTGCTGGACGCTTGAGCTGTTTTGAATTTTTAGCTACTGTGAATAATGCTGTCATGAAGTTCCAAATACAGCTGCCAGAGGTAAATACCTAGTAATAGTCATGAGGTAAATGCATGTTTACTTCTAAAAGACACTGGCATATTTTGGCAGAGAAACCTTACCATTTTGCATTCCCATGAGTGACATGATATTCCCAGTTGTTCTACATCTTCTTCAATACTTGGTATTATCAGTGTCTTTAACTTCAGTTGTTTAACTATATGTATAGTGGTATCTCGTGGTTTTTATTTACATTCTCTACTAGTAATGTTGAACATTTTATTTTAAAAACAACTACAATAACAGCTGTTTACTATAAAATAAGAATTTTCCCTAGTATTTCTCTCTGAGTCATTTAAATTCTGTAATAATGGGACTATGATCTAACTCAGTTGGCTCCTGTCCTCCACTCAGTCTCTATTCTTTAATGGGGCAGGTTACAGTTCTTAGTAATCCTGATAGGAAGTGGAAAAGAAGGGGTAAGATGGGAAAACAAAGGATGGGTTTCTGCCCATCAAGGATTCCACTGGTCAAACTTCATGTTTGATGTGGCTGAGGAACTGTGCCTGACAAATTCAGACAAGCAGAAATCAGTATTTAGTCTTGCAAGTTCCAATGAACCACAGGATACAATATTGATACCTAAACTAGAATCGCCCATCAAAAGGCATCAAACTACAGTGAGAACCAGAATGAATTTGGATCACAGAATGGAACCACTGAACTATGAGCTAGAAACTGCTCAGGATCCCTCTGGTCACTGCACTAACCTTGCAATAATGTGACCCTGCATTTCATGAGTAAATTTCTTGGATTCTACTCATCATATATTTAACTGCATTTTAAAAATTGCTGAAAATAATTTACTGTTGTATGAACATAGAATATTGGTATATTAGTAAGTAGGCCTTCTACTAGGCAGTATTCCCTACAGTTTCTATAATAAATACTTTGCCAAAGAAATCTATAAAAATCTAGGCTAACTCTGAAAGATGATGAAAAAGAGATAGTACTTCTCAACTACTTTTTGGTTATCATTTAAACATCACCGCAGGAAATGCAGTGATGCAAACACATATAACATTTTGTATATAATACTGGGAGTTCAGCTAATTCCCCGAAACTTATCCATGTAGACTCCAGGTCAAGAAACTCTTACATTAATGTGTTTTTTCCTCCACTTTTCTATAAAGATGAATGAAAAAAAATAGTACTTAAACAGTAATAATACTTAAAACCTATCAAATAAAATCCTAAACATATTCTTTGGTGGCTTAAAAAAATACATTTAAGGAAGACATTCCCTTGAGTAAGTTTACCAGTAACCGTTGCAACTTCAGCGGAGAAAGCTTGTTGATTAAGACTGCTTGTTTCAGAATCCAACTGAAGTGTGGTTAGACTAGCCACTTCTTGCTCTTCAGCACTTTGGTGATGGCCAGAACCTGAGTCCACATCAGCAGAGGATGCAATCCCAGCATCAGCTCCAAAGCCAAAATCTATAGGAAGAAGAAATGCTAGTACATAGATGTCTCAACCATGAAACAAAAATATTTACAAAAGACACAGCTACTTTAGCAAAAATGATTAAACATTAACATTTCCCTAAATCTATTCTATTTACATACCACTCAGGCAAGTGCAGATAATTTTAACAGATGGAATTTTATAATTAGAGATAAATTGTGGGGTGCTTGCGTGGCCCAGTTGGTTAAGTGTGTGACTTCAGCTTAAGTCATGATCTTGCAGTTCATGAATTTGAGTCCCACGTCGGGCTCTGTGCTGACAACTCAGAGCCTGGAACCCGCTTCAGATTCTATGTCTCCCTCTCTCTCTCTGCCCCTCCCCTACTCATGCTCTATTTCTGTCTCTCAAAAAATGTATAAACGTTAAATAAATTTTTTAAAGGTTCTCATAGCTTATTACTAACAGTAATGATTAAACATGCATATGATGTATCATCACTATTATCTGTTTTTTGGTAGCTGGTAATATGCTTTTCAACTACAGATATATGTAATAAAAATGGCACACATACAGTAAAAACCATTTTTCTCTAAGTCATATATTCCAGTCTGAGATAAGGGTAATATATGAGGGCAGGAAACATGTTTCTCCAATGCGTCTCCCAGCTCTTCATTAATGTGGTTCCCAAAGTTTTCATGTTTCTTTTGTTTGTTTTTAGTTTATTTTGAGACAGAGAAAGAGTGTGAGCAGGGAAAGGATAGAGAGAGACAGAGAGACAGACAGACAGACAGACAGAGAATATCCCAAGCAGGCTACACATTATCAGCGTGGAGACCAATGTGGGGCTCAAACCCACGAACTGTGAGATCCTGACCTGAGCTGAAACCAAGAGTCAGATGCTTTACCGACTGAGCCACCCAGGCGCCCCCACGTTCTTTTTTTAAATATCGGTACTCTTCACTGCCAAGTGTATATAGCTAGCTATGTAGTAGTGATACAGCACCAAATAATACCACTGCTGTCATTTTAATATGAAGTGATTATTCAAGAAAAGGTCGGAGTAATTTAACATTGAACATAATTGTATCGAACATACTGAAGCACTGAACATAACTAGACAGTGGTTTGCAAAGAATGAAATAGTACCAACTCATAACCATGACTGTCCTTTATTCTAATATCAAGTCAATTTTAATTTTTTTTCCCTTGTACATGTTTGGTCTTAGAATACCATTTGTTTTATGAAAGGACAGTGGTTTTTTGTTTTTTAAGTGTCTTTAATTTAGTTTGGTGAAATAAAGTGGTCCCAACTTGAAGTGATTCCCTAAAACTTCCTTTGGAATTTCACTGAAAAATGAAATCAAAATACATGGGAACCCCATATAAATAACATTAGAGAGGAAGGTGATGGTTATATAATCCATAAGTCTCAAACAGAAAACAGTCAACAAAAAACCATATTGCTCAAACAGAAAAAGATACTTGCTGTCAAATTTTCGGCCATCGTATTGGAAAGCGCTGAAAGAATCCGAATGACTATCTGAGCTGATAAGATCACTGCTCCCTGCACTGGCAGGAGAAGTCCATTCTGAGGGCACACCTGGGTCATCAATAGGGCGCATTTGGTTTTGCTTGTTTAGAACATCAGGGAGGTCTTTGGGAATTTCAAGACTGCCTGGACTACTTCCCCTTCTTGTCATAGTCTAAAAATTTAAGAAACATTTTACCATTAAAATTTCTTCTTGTCATTAAACATCTGAAATACTGAATTGCCAAGACAATCATCACAATAAATGTTGAGGTTTAGGGCCTGAGTTAGGAGGGTGAAAACACACTAACTAAATAATCTATGTAATTGTATGGAGCCATAACCTGAACTACTGAGACCCAGTTATTATATGGTACTGGGCCTGAGACTCTTAAGCCTCAAAAGGATCCACAGATTCAAGTTAAGACCATAGAAAGAGCAAAGTATTCAATTCAAAAAAGCAGCAGCAAATAGAGATAGTGGAGGGAGGAAAAAATGATGGCAAAGAGGTTATTCTATAATGATTACATATAATGATTTAAAAAAATTTTTCCCATTCAAGGAAAAAAATGAAACTGAAAATAAAAGGGAAATGTAATGGAGCTACAGACATTCACTAAAGATTGAAATCCAAATGGAATAGGACCATTTAAATAAAGCAATTCCACATGTATATCTTTCCTTAATAATTAAGTATTATTAGGGGTAAAATTGGTTCTATTTTCATTTTGCCATAATTCTAATACTCAAAACAAAGATAACTTTAAAATCTAGTCTGAAGTTATCTGTAATTATTAAGCAATCAATACTTATGCTATCAACTTATGGGAGTTGGGCCAGAAGACCTCTTTCTTGTTAAGGGTTGGCAGTGGGAAGGAAGAGAACCTATGAGCAAACATGAAAAGCAAAGGGAAGACAAGGAAGGTAGGGGCTTATTCCTAAACAGGTAAACAAATAGGTATTCTAATCTTTTACCCTGGTCAAAACTATAAGCCTATTTGTTTTAGATCTTTGAATAAAAAATACTACAAAAATATAAATTTTAGAGGAAGGTTGTTTTGAATGAAAATTTACACACACACAAAAGTATGTATCTTTTAATTTCTCTACTCTCCTTGCTAAAACCAAATAAATAAAATAAAACAACACTTACTGAGGCATTACCACTTCGAAGTCGTTCTGCTATAAACTCATCCATCAGATCAGGAACATTAGCATTGCTGCTGCCAATATCACTATTAAGAGGGGGCAGTTTTGGGCTCATGTCCTCTTTATTGACTAAAAATAAATAAATAACTATATATAGTGAGAAAAGACTTAACTGCATTTCCTAAATTTGAAACAAACAAAAATAACTCAAAACAAATTACCTATGCCATATCAATTATTTGCCAAACATGCATTTATGAATAATTTCTCTCCTTTTAGATTTAATTTTAAGAATTAGTAAATTGATATTTACTTTATTTAACTAAGCAGATGTTAGTCAATCTTCAGTATGACCTTAAACAGCAAGAAAGCTGATAGATAAGCACTAGTTGGAGTTAGGTTAATATTGCCTATAAAGAAACTGGTATATTTATCTGTCTTCCTGCCTCTATGCTGCTTCTTAGGGCCTTAATAATTTAGAATTCCATTCTTCCCCAAGGAATATTTGCAAGAAATCTATCCCTTCAATCTATGCACATCTCAGTAGGATAGAAATGCATTTAAGCTTAGATAAATAATCTATAATTGTGACATAATGTCATTTCAGTTCACTACAAAATCTAATTTGTTTTAAGAAAAAAGGTTTATTTTCACAAAGATTTTTCTATATAAAAAAAAACCCACAAAAGTTATTTTGATTTTTTTTAATGACTACATTAACAAGAAAGTTTTAAACTTGGGAAACAAACTTATAGAAAAAATGATATTTATTTATTTCACATTATGCTGTTGAAAAGTTAATTTCTCTGCAATTAAAAGAAAATCAGCATGGCTTACATTCCTAATAAACTAAAAAGCATTTCAGGTTAAGAAAACACACTGGTCAAAAGTTCATTGTGAAATACCATTATCTTTATATTACTGGCCAGGCTTTGCTAAGCTGTCAAATACTGCCCTCAAGTGGCATTAATGGCTCAATGCAAGATGCATTATACAGCATTCTGTTAATCATGCTAACAAAACCATGTTAAACAAACAAAATCAAAACCTACCTTACTGCTGAAAGTTAATTTTCTATATTTGTAAAGTTATTTTAATTTGAATCAAGATAAGAGAAGACAGTTACCATAATCTTGCTTTCTGTAATCTGTCCATAGAGGTTCCATATTAAAATCATGATTGGCTATCATGAAACCTTTATGCACATCTAAAATCTCAGAAAAAAGAAAAGTACTGGTAAGTGTTTTAAGGACTTGCATTCTATACAAATGAATGCAAAACTAAGAAGCCTGCAGCATGGTTTTAAATGGCTTAAAGGTAACTAAATCCACTTTGAAATTTAAGAAATAATTTCTCCTTCAATGATAACTGAAAAATGTTAGTGCTGGTTGTACGACCTTGATTTCCATTATGTTATGTAATATCAAAATAATACTCTTCCAAGAAAAAAGATAAAACCAAGTATATCAATCATAAAAGTAAATGAACTCAATCAGCTATAGCTGGTGCCCTTTTAAATATAAACTATAGGGGGCCAGGGAAGAAAGTATTCCAACTACTTAGTAAACTTAATTTCCTGTCTCATGTAGTGCATACTCAGGAAAATATTTGATTTAGATAGCCTCTGAAAGGTCATTAAAATTTTCCTATTTTATTCCTCTTTCCTATCTTGTTCAGCAGCAAAGAGGTTTAACTAAATGCCTTATAAGGGAAATTAGTAATTTAAATAAACATTTTATGCTGGGAAAAATACAGCTGGGAAAAGGCGCATGCATAACCAAACAGAGAGAAAGCAGTGACCATCCCAAAGCTTTTTGATTGCTTATAGCTTGCTTCAGTTGCATTAAGCCAAACTGGTGCTGTCTTTCTCCTTTTGCGCTCTGCACACTGTTAGTGCTCACCTGCAGCTTTCCTTCCAAAATAGCCCATTACATGACTGTACAGATCCCTCAGTGGAGCCTCTGGTGGCATTCTGTTCTGCCTCTGTGGGGAAACATTTGCCTTCGGCTTCGAAAGAGCATGTACAACAGTTTTATAAACGCCACCCAGGGAGCCCTGCTGTAGTCCTGCCTCATGACTTGATGACCTAAGAGTACTACGACTACCTAACTGATTACTTGCAATTCCTTCTTTTTGTAATACAGTGGTGGGAATCTCTGTAGATTCCTTACTTGTTTTGCTACTTACTGATGCTGTACCAACTGAATCTAGAGGCCTGTACACACCAGGTTTCACTATCTCTGTAAAACTATTTGAGCTGGCATGGGGGTTGCTGGTGCTGCTGTTGCTATTACTACTACTACTAAAACCACCAAGCTTCCGCAGTCTCATCTTCCATGGAGCCTCTTTGTTTTCCAGAGGATTATAAAACTGAACTGACTCAGTAGATGGTCTAAAAGTAACATGAACAGTATTTCGTTTTTTAGTAGTAATTTTCATGATTTTGGCTCTAGGAGTTACTGTTTCAGACAAGCTCCTTTTAGTTGGAGAAAGCTTGCTAGTGTTTGTAACATGAGGCAGTCTGTGGTTAACAGGTGTTTTTAGTGTAGTTTTCTTGGCATGCATAACATGTGGGACAGTGATTTTTTCATTAATTTGCACACCCTTAACCTTTTCAGCTAGTGTTGTATCTACACAGGCATCTAATTCTGTGGCTGTTTGTCTATACAGGTGTTTCCTCATTTCTTTATCACAAGGGCTACCTGAACTAGGTTCTGATGACTGTTTATCACTGTTTAGTTCCTTAGCTTTTTCATAAGTTTTTGTTCTCATAAAACTGTCTAACTGGTTAGGTGCAATACTACTCACGAAGACAGCTGAGTTTGGTTCTTTTTGAAACTGAATGTTTTCAGGAGTCCCAACAAAAGAGGTGATATTTTCTGATTTACTTTCCTGGTCTATGTATTCTAATTTATCTAAGGATGACTGTTCATCCCTATTTACTCCAACAATCAATTCCTGAGAAGCTACATCTTTACCTAACTCATTTCTACTATGATTTTCCTGGTTTTCCTTAAAATATTCTTTCAGGGAGGAAAGAAGATCGTCATCTCCTTCAAGGTCAATGTACTGGATTTGTTCAAAAGCTGAATCTGCAAGTTCTACTGGATCTATTAAGTGACAAAGATGATCATATATGCTATCACCAACTTCCAGAGAAGACTCTCTACTATGAGTATCAGTGATGTGGCTTTCAGTGGATCTAGTTATTGAAGAAGCCTCTGTGGAACTCTGCAAGCTTGGCGCATGACGGGATGAACTGTCAATGACAGGAACTGCACCTTTGGCTCGTTCAACAGTGAATGGTTCCAAGATGTCAGAAGTGCTGCTACTTCGAGGCAATGGCTGTTCCTCATTCAAAGCACCAAAAACTTCATTTCCAGTGTCTTCACTTTGTGAAAAATGTCTGACTCTAGTTGGGCGGGGAAGTATTTGAGCATCATCAATATCTGTAAAAAAGAAAAATTATGAACAGTAGAAACTATATGAACATGAAAAATATAGGATTAATTTCAACCATACCCTAAGCATATGCTTAAAATAAAAAAAATTCTGAGTTTTGTTTTGTAAGCTCAATGAAATAAAATCTATTAAAAGTAGAAATCTGTTTTTATATAACGATGGGCACAAGCCAATATAGCATGTAGTGTCAATGAATTAGAAAACTATCAGAATACATTTTAAAATGTTAACATGCATAGTAACAGTGAGGTGATGAAACATTTGGAAGTGCAGTTAAAGATAGAGCTGTGCCAATACATAAAGCAATTTAAACTTACTATTCAATTTTTCCTACTTAAGTTCTAAGCAGAAAAAAGTAACTCTTAACAAAGAAAGCTGATCTAAGTATCCCATTGCAGAATCTTATAGGGTCTCATAAATTCTCATTTCTTCCTTGCCAGGCAAGAGGCATTATCTTTTCTTCAAATCTTGCCTATTTGATCACATATTGCAAATGGGAATCTCCACCCTCTTCCACAAGTTCTCTGTGCCAGGAAACAGTTCTACTGAGGTGTTTTGCTTTATTTTTTTTTATAGCATTAAAATTTATTCATCCTATCAAATAAAATACATGGTTAAAAAATTAGTTGTATTCTTCGTTCTCACAAACACCACTTAATCTTCTAGCAAGAAACCTTCTTTGCCTATCATTGGCCCTTTCCATTAAGCAAGCATTAAACCTTAAAAACTGTATCTATGTCTTCTTACATCTCTAAGAATCACAGATTTTAGAGTCAAAATGGACATTACAGATTATTTAATTCTCTTACTGAAGAAACAGAGGGCCAAAGAGGTGAAGCCATAAAGTATGAGAAGCCAGATTACTGTTCCATATCACTGCATTGTTTTCGCTGCTAAGTATATGGTAAATCCTCAAAAATATTTTTAAAATTGAAAATCACAAGATGAAATACTATTAAACTGTACAGATATATGCAAATTAGAAATTTTAGAATGAAAATACAGTGCCTAGAAATCCACTCTGGCCTTTACATTACCAAGAAATAACTAAAAATTTTGTTTTTGCAAGGCAGCAAAATATTATGAAAAAAGGACAAAGAGTCAAAAAGTCAGATGTTGTTACTCATTAGGCTTGTAATGCAAAGGCTAAAAGTAACAGGACCATAACTGAAAATGAGAAGATTTACATTCAGAGCAAAACAGTGACTTCCCTAAGATCACACACTAACTCACTGACTGTGCTGGGTCTAGAACTTAGGTTTTCTTACTCCAGACTCTGAAAAACAGTGTTTTCATTTATAAAATGGGGATAGCAATTCAAAATATTCTTGGGATTCATGCTATGAATAAAAGGAGGCTGGGGGCATATAGGTGGCTCAGTCAGTTAAACATCTGCCTCTTGATTTTAGCTCAGGTCATGATTGGATGGTTCATGAGATCGAGGCCCACATCAGGCTCTGTGCTGACAATGTGGATCCTACTTGGGATTCTCTCATCCCCTCTCTCTCTGCCCCTCCCCTGCTCGTGCTCTGTGTCTCTCTCAAAATAAATAAATAAACTTTAAAAAAAAATGAGGCTGGTCCTTCTATTTTACCTATATAGCCCTTTTTGTACAAAGTCCAAAAGAAGCTACTTTATACACAGATTCAGATCAAGAGAAGTTTGTATTATGACAAGATTCCACTATATTCCTGAAGATACACATTTAGATTCCAAGCACAGGTCAAACATACAATACCTCTAGAAGTTAAGACAGATTTTATCATTAAGTTGAGGAAAATATAATATTCTAAAAACGACATTGGATTTCTTCATACACGCCATTTAGTAATTCTTTTAAATGAAAAAAGTGAAACAACTCCTCAGAAACCAAACATTTATGCATTTATACCCATTATTTACTATGGCAGAAGATAATGAATGCTTATTTGTGTGTCTCAACGAATGTAAGTATCTTGGTTTTATTTTATCTCCCATAATAGATCATAAGAACCTCTGCCTAGAGGACAGAGATTATATTTAACATGTACTCCAAGTTCCTTTCCACAAAATATCCTAATAGGACTTAGCAAAGGATAAAGACTATCTTCATTTTCTATAAAAATTCTTAAGAATTTTATAGTTATTTTATCAGCCCCAATTCAAAATTAAAATCTTAAAACCTTTTTAAATACCAATGTTATGATCCTAGCAAATACATGAACCTCAGAAAAAAAGCAGAATATTAGTTTAAAATTTTAAGTTCCTTTACTGGTATTTCATAATTTTTCTATTCTAAACAAGCCAGTAAAGATTACTGTGAAGTTCTCTTTTTAAGAATTTCTTCCCCAACCCAGTCCTCACCTTGCAAGGCAAATTTAGCCATTATTTCAGTCTGTTTTTTTCCTAATTTTTTTTATCACATATTAATACCTAAAATTCTTATGCAAGTTTAAGAGGGCAAGAGCTTAAAAAAAAAAAAAAAAAAGAAACAATATTTTTCTATCAGCAATGTACTGTTAGAGAATTTAAATAAAAACCAATATTTAAGTTTTTAAATATAGTTCTTACATAGGCATATAAGAATACTAACTGCATAACGTCAAAAAAGAAAATAATTGTTGACAGGAAATCAATGTCAGCAATTAAATTAAGCATAATTAATTCTAGCAGACCTTAAATTTAAAGAAATGCCTGTATACCTGTATTCTGTTAAGGAGAAAAATACTAAATGACAGCTAAACCATATAGTCTTTTCTACAAGCTAGGCATTGTTACAACTCTCTAGCTCTGCCCCTCCTCCACTCACACTCTGTCTCTCTCTCTCTCTCTCTCTCAAGAATAAACAAACATTTAAAAAAATTAAAAAAAAAAAACAAATAATGAAGCACTGTTAAATTTTAGCAGCCTGTGTAACATGACCTAGACAGACTAGAGTTCTAATAGCAAAAAGTATGACAAACAAGTTAGCAATTTTAAGAACTCATTCAAAGAAAGTAGGTTTGTAAACTTAATTTCCGGTGAGAATCCCACACTACTTAATTAGAAAATAATAAGAAACAGTTGCAAAAGTATGAAGAAAGTCAGGTGCCCACGTGCTTATGTTTTTTAAATTCCTTCTTTCATTAAAGTATTATTTTTGGCAATAAAAGTTAATTTGCTTAAGAACAATTACTGAGATTTCTGGCTTCTCTCTAATCCATTTATCAGGAAAATGGAGACTGTTCAGCCTAAGTTACCAAATGCTTAAAAGTAAGTGCTTAAAAGTAAGTTACACTGGAAACTCAGTGTAAGAATAAAGGACAGGGAGAGCATGCTTGCCTAGACACCTCTATTACTTGTAGAGCTTTAAAAAAAAAAGTGCTTGTACAACCTCCACAATATTCTATCAAAACCTGAGGCAGATGCCTGGGAAAAAATATTATTTCAATTGTTACACATGAGTCTGTCATTAAGAACTAATGAGAATGATATACAGCAAATGCCTTTGAACTAGTCCCCAGAGCTTAAGAAGAACTCTTCAAGGATATTCAGCTATACAACTAGTTTAGTTTATATAAAGCTGTACCATATAGCATCACACAACAGTGTAGCGAAAATGGACACTTAAACAAGAATACTGGAGGAGAAAAAAAGGGCTGGATGGAGATAGGGTACTTCGAAAATTGATGGTCTATTTAAAAAAATCTTAGTGTTAAAAATAAGAGGAATTAAACAGAGTTTCCTTTTATCCTCATAAGTATTCAAGAGTATCAGGTAAATATTTTTCTGGAGAACTCTACTTCTAACCAAGAACTAGAGTGACTGAATGTATTTTCATTGTTTTTTGGTGAAGCCAGTTTCAGAAACCTCAACTCCTGACTTAAATGATGTGCTCAGGAAATATTTTGAGTTCATTAAGCCTGTTCATATGAGGGAGAGATATAAAACTACGAAAAACCTTTTTTCCTGGGGCGCCTGGGTGGCTAAGTCAGCTAAGGGTCCGACTTTTGGTTTCTGCTCAGCTCATGATCTCATGGTTCAGGAGTTTGAGCCCTGCGTCCAGCTCACACTGCCAGTGTAGAGCCTGCTTGGGATTCTCCTCTGTCTGCCCCTTCCCCACTCTCTCCCTCTCTCAAATAAATAAACTTAAAACAAAACAAAACAAAACCTTTTTTCCTATGTAATTCACTATCCTTACTAATTTTCTCTGAACATTAAGCTATTCTTTTTTTAATGAATTTTTTTTTTTTTTTTTTGAGAGAGAGCAAGCATGTGCGAGTTGAGAAGAGGGGCAGTGAGAGAGAGAGAAAGAGACAGAGAGAGAATGAATCTCCAGCAGGTTCCACACTCAGCACGAAGCCTGAGACAGGGCCTCATCCCATCACCCAGGGATTATGACCTGAGCTGAAATTAAGAGTCAGATGGTCAAGTGACCAAGCCACCTAGGTGCCCCTGTACATTAAACTGTTCTACAGTAAAATTTACTCAAAACCTTGTAACATAAGTTACAAACATAAGTAAATAGTTTGCTTGAGAACCTAAGACTGGCAATTTTCTTTTTAAAACTTAGGACTGTTTTTTAAAAATCTCTTCATTCTGAGCCTCTTTTTCTTTTCCCTATCTGTCCCCATCACTGTCCCACCTCCTTACTGCCTCAGTGCACCTAACACCTGAAGAAGCAAATGCTTAGGCCTTCAATTTGCCTCCAACAATCAGAGGCAATGAAGAAAAAATCCAACAATTCAGAATTCTACTATATAAGTTTATATAAGAATAATCCTGTCCAATTTTCACAGCTAATTTTTAAATTTATAAGGTTAGTTCAATGCTTCCAAATTTGTTCTCTCTGGAACCTTAATGCTATAGAACCTGAATATGTGTACCTGGAAAAGTTATCCATGCTTACATAAGTTTGAGAAATAAACACTGTGTGTGTGTGTGTGTGTGTGTGTGTGTGTGTATGTGTGCACGCGTGCGTGTCTGTGTCTCTTTTTAAAAAAACTGACTTCTGGGGGCCTTTAATATATTGATATACACTATAAATCTTTGATCCATTGGATACTTATTAACATCTCCTGGACAGGGATGTAAATTTATACAACCAATATGGAATATGCTGAATTCACAAGTTACTTATCAGTTTTTGCTACTTTCCATGTTCTTTGTATCTTTTAAGTCTTAAAAGAAAAAAGATTTTTATTCAAAATAACTAAGTCTAATTACGCTTTTATATTTTATATGTACACATGCACAAAAAACTGGAGGTATCTGTATTTTAAGTTATCAGTAAATAAGCACTCGGAAGATTATGTATATTTTCATATACTTTTTTACACAATCCATATTTTCTGAAATTAACATTATTTTGATAATCAAAGATAAAGTCTGTTTTTGATTTAGTGACTGGTGTCTCACCATTATCTAACTCTTTAAATCTAACACAGAATGCATGTTACCCCAAATGGGGGAAATGAAAGCAACAACAAATAAAACTGCAATTTAGAAAATTCCTTTCAAACATTCTTCATAGAACACCTCCCCCATTAAGCCATTAAAATTATTAACCTCTTTCTGAATTACATAAATGTGAAGGATTCTGAAATAGGAACTTATCCCAGTTAAGGCATTACCTTACAGCATTTTGAAAGGAACAATCTCACCTTTAAACTTTTAAAAAAGATTTCAGCACTTAACATGCATATTTGCCAAAATATTAGACATATTACAGAATATGTCTAAGTATTTATCAATCAAGGCATCCTAAACCAGAAAACACAAACATATCACATTCAATAATTGAATATTTTATTTTCTCATTTTTAGAAAAGTAAAATAATAAGGTTTTTTTTTTTTCATTTACAATATTTTCAAAGAACACCAACCACAAGAGTGTCTGTGTATCTACATATATTTAATCCTCAATATGTACCCCCTTGGTTTGGGTGAAAGCTGATCTTAATGAGGTTACAGATGATGGAAAGGACTTCACCGGAAATATCATTATTATAAAAATGCACTTTCCGTTGTACAAGCTTTCAATCCATTAGGAACTGAAAGGATGCAGAGATGGGTTGTTTAAAAGACAAAAAAAAAAAAATCAACCTCACCAAATGAGGCAATGTCAGGGACACACTCATAAGAGTGATAAGGAAGTACCCAAGAAAGGGGTGCCTGGGTGGCTTAGTCAGTTAAGTGTCCAACTTTGGCTCAGGTCATGACTTCTTGGTCCCTGTGTTCAAACCTTGTATCGGGCTCTGTGCTGACAGTTCAGAGCCTATAGCCTGCTTCGGATTCTGTCTACCTCTACCTCTCCCCCACTCCCACTCTCTCTCTCAAAAAGGAATAAACATTAAAAAAACTAAAAATAATGTACCCAAGAATGTACAAGTGTTTTTCTTTGAGCTAGCACATTTTGCATAGTAATTATTCGACACATTTGCTTCTAAAGAACAAAACACTGTATGATTTTACTCACACAAAATTCTTTTTAAAAAAACTAATCTACGGTGATAGAAATCAAAAGTGATTGATTGTGTGGGGAGGAGGGATACTGACTTGAAAGTGTCACTAGAGAATTTGAGGGGTAATGGAAATGTTCTATATTTTGTTTGGGATGATGGTTAATAGGAGTGTGTAGATTCTCAAAACGCATTGAACTGAACCCAGAATCTATACATCTTATTACATGGTAATTAAACCTTATTAAAGAGCAGACCATCTTATCCTAGTACTGGGCATCAAGGACCTGAGGCAGAACTGGAAAAATGACCGAATGTTGAGGTTCCTTGAAAATTGGAGCTTTACAGAATGATTTATTTGGTTTAAAAATGAGTTCTTAGAATCCTATATACTATTATACTCTAATGTAAATACAAAGATTTATTCCAAAGCAACTCTAAGATTATATACTTTTCTCATTTATTGATTCCCCTTGCTTACTTCCATTACTACAGATGATGGAGATGCATTATTCAAGATTTACCATATCATTAGTCAAAACAATGGGAAATTAAAAGCCAAGGCTCTGATTGTTATCTTCCAAATCATCTTTAGTCAGACATAATGACATAAATATACATCACTACTCCTTTTACCACCTGAGAAGAAACCACTCAAAGGTAAACAAAAAAATTTACAACCCAAAATATTGGACATTGGCACAGCACTAAACTTAGCACTTCCAGAATGAACTGCAAGGACAGCATTAGAATTCAAATAACTCAAAATGTTGATTTCTCAACCACTTTCCCGATTTCCCACACCTCCCCCAAAGAAATTAACTTTGAAGAGTTTATTTGATTAAGCAAAATTTGAAAGCAGGATTAAAAAGTGAAAAGGGTGGTGCAGAAATTAGCAGAGGTGGCACTACCTGAAAGCTCATCAGAAAGGGGAGTGAGAACAATATCAGGCAAGAAGGGTTTGGAAGTATGGATCAGAACAGGAGCACTTTTAGCACTGCGTATATAGGCCGATGGCAGAGCACATTCACCAATGGATCGGCTTCTCATGGCTTTAAAAAAGGAAAAGAAAGAAGTGGGGAAGGAAAAAAGAAGAGTGACTATAATGAAAGGCTTGTGTCACAGAAAAAGCAGCAACAGAGAAAACTAAAAGATACAAAGGAAGGAAATTTTAAATTAAAACATTTCAGCACGGCAAATACTGGCAAGCTGTAAGAAAAGAAATCAGAGAACACATGACATTTCAAATGTAAAGTTTTTGGTGTAAAGCAGGAAAATGTTTCTTTATTATTAGCAGTTACAATGATATAGCATTAAAAATCAGCAGACACTTTAAATTAGCACTATGTTCTCAAAACCAAGGGTTGGAAAGTTCATTTAATGGAAACACTGAAAAGAATCCAGCATCATTAGTTCAAAGAAATTTTGGTACTACATTTAGGCATTTCTTAGAGCCATTCTGAGGCAATTCTGAGACATTCTTCTTAATGAAGCTGAATTCTAAAAACAAATAATTTCTAATTTCATACTCTTCCCTAACAAAGTTTTGAAGTCACTCATTTTTAGAACATTTTGTAATCTAAAGGATCGAATCTCATGGTTACTGTTAAATCTTGGTAGGAGAAGAATGCTTACTCCAATCAGTATCTCCTATTTATATTAAAGTGTAACAGCATAATTTAAAATTTTTAAGTAGAAATATATACAGAAAACTGAATTTGCGATCTGGATGAAAAATCAAGTTACTGAGAAAAATAAACAAGTTTGTGGTAATTCAAAATCTTAAACATACAATGTAACTTTATAAAGTTCTTAAAGATAAACTTAAAAACTGGATTACTTTTCAAAAATTACATTTGTAGTTGTATTTGGTAGTCTCTTCTAAGGAGTCACCAGTTCATAAAATTAAAGACAGATTTTAGCAGACTTAAAAATAAATTAACAATCAAGTTTATACTTTCCAAACATGTTTTTAACTTAACTTTTAGTTTAGGGATTCTTGAACAAATGACGTTATATATACTGTTACGTATGAATAGAGGACTTAAAAGAAACAATACTGCATAATATCCAGTATAATAGTGATGGTAAAAAAAAATGTGAACATTAATATCATTTCAAAATCTTAGGTTTCCTGCTTACTGGAAACTCTTGGTTCCCTGACGCCTAAATTCCTTAGTCTATCACACAAGGCCTATGTGACCTTATACTAACTATACTAACCACTGAAACTGCATCTCCTCTCTTTATTCTCGTATGTTGCTGCCACAGAGATTTTTATACTGTTCCCTGAAATGTTCATGCTCTTTCACAACAGCATGGCTTTGTGAGTTCATAATATCCTCGGTCTTCTCTTCCTCCTGACACTCCTTACTCAAAATGTCATCTCACCTGTGAAGCTTTTCAGACTCTCCCATGTGATTAACTTACAAGCAATATGGCAATGAACAAAATAATTAAAAATCCCTGCTTTTGCAAACCTTACAATCTATTTTTAGTGGATTATATGTTTTTTATGTCAGCCTCCCAACTTTTCAAACACACAACTATATCCTCTTATCTTTATAATCCTAGTGCTTGGCATATATGAGCTCAACAAAGCTTTACTGAATGAATACTCTATTTGGGGAGTCCAGCATAATTATGTAAAAAACAACAGTTTTAGTTGTGAAAATATGGAGGAGAAAATCAAAGAAAGTATTCACAGAAAACTAAATATATGTTATAGCTTATAACTATACATTTTTCAAAAACTTTATTAATGTTGGCAAATAAAGATTCTTTAAGAGAAGCTTTTAAGTAAATTTATGTGCAGCAAAACATGGAGGATTGGATTATATTAATGGCAACAATCTGCCTTCGGTGTATGGTTTGTCAAGTAATATGTTAAAGATAACTGTATTTTGGGGTGCCTGGAAGGCTCAGTCTGTTGAGTGTCCAACTTCCCCTCCGGTCGTGATCTCACAGTTTGTGAATTCAAGCCCTGCGTCAGGCTCTCTGCTTTTAGTGGGGAACTTGCTTTAGATTTCTGTCCCCCTCTCTTCTGCACCTCCCCTGTTCTCTTTCTCTCAAAAATAAATAAACATTAAAAAAAAAAAAAGTAACTATTTTAGAATTGAACTCACATACAAAATGTCAGAATCTCGTCTTATGTGTTTTCCTACTAGTTTCTTCTCCTTAAGAAAATGACACAGTTTTACAATCTAATGTGAAACACAGCTATGCAGACTTCAAGATCATCATTCATTCAATCTTACTAGAGCAAAGACACAAACATATAGGCAAAATATGTAGTGGTTATTAACACAAAAGATTAAAATACCATCTACAATTATAATCAGATGTGACTTTTAGAGATACTTATTTTAAAATTACATTGATTCTTTTAAAACTAATTTGATTCAATTTTCAATTCTATAGAAGAATTACAAGTTTTCTTCTATTTTTTCCCCCTTGAGTTACATAATTCCTTGGAGATTACAACTCCTCCTGTTCCTTCTTTCCTATCACCAACTTGAAGAGCCTGAGCATTTCCCTCGGAACTTTCTACAAACACAGTGGTTCAAGTATGTTATGATTCTGAATGAATTCTACACAAATGTACCCCTCTATTTTTCATTATACTATAGGTCTTTATACATACCTAAAATTTTGCCTAGTGCCTCACAACCGTGTAACCTGCACTACAGAAAGTTATTTACAATGAATTAGCTACTGGGATTTTGAGGGATTTACTAATCTAAAGCTTAAGTCAGAAATCTCTATTAAGCCACTGAAATTCCAACTGCCACATACATTCTTAAGCCACATGCATGAGTGATTTTAAATCTGTAATATGTGTTTTATGTAGATAAAAGGGCAGTATGAAAAATATAACATCAAAAAGTAAAAACAAATTTTCAAACATATAAGCTGTCAATTTTTGAAGGCTTCTTATCTTTACCCTTCTCAAAAAGGTGAATAAAAAATAAAAATAGACACACTCCACATAAATTCATCTTGGATCATAAAATATACACATTATGTCAAAAACTGTGATCTTCACTAGAGAATTCCCACGCAGCATACAAAATTCATGAACAGCAAATGTAACACATCACTAAAAGCACACAAACACAAAACAAATAGGAGGAAGGCAAATCTGGCCTTTTCTCATTTCTAAAATGTAATACATATTTCTCCGTTTTTATAATTAAATAAAATTCACATCATACATACATGTCTGTCCACTGGCAGAAATACATTTATAAGTGCCCAAACTTAGGCGCAATATTATAATAAACATAAACCAAGAGGAAAATCTGAAAACAGAAACAGTGATATATTTGTTCCAACAGTCGAATACCAGCTCCTAAATCATAACTATAAACACATTATTACTTCTCACGAATGTATTCTAAAGTAAGTCCTAAATTCACTGCATCCTTTAATGTGTTGGCATAAGCAAAACCTTAGATAGGAGTAGTGATGAGGGACTTACTAAAATGTATACACTCTCTCAGATATTTAATTTTTAACTGTGTACATTCACTATGAACATAAAAAAATTTTTTTAAGAAAATATATATCCAAACACTATCCTAAATTAATCTGCTGCCCTTTTCAGTATTCTCCAACTTTACGCAGGCACCTTTCTTGACAAAATTCTTGATGCTTCAACTTTTTATTTGATAGGTTTGTCAATGAACAGGCCAGATAAGGTTGTTCTGACATAGGTACCAGAAAGTATTCATAGTCAGGCATGAATTTAAGAGGAGTATTTTACTCATTATATGCTCTTTAAAGATTAGAAATATGCCAACATGTTAATAATTATCTCATTGGTGCTTCTTAAAAATTTTTTTACATTTTAAATTTTACATCCCACACTAAGCATAAATTACTACTATAATCAGAAAAATTATATAAGGAACTTTGAAAAAAATACAAGCTTTAAGTAAAACAGTAAAATTTTAAACTTAAAAGAACAATTCTGTCCTAAACAATACACAAATATTTTCATTAAATGTGACATTAATATAAAATGAAGACAGACATTTCAGATGTAACCAATATCTTCCTAAGAATCTCAAAGTGATTCTATACCAAACTTTAAATATTCTATCAATTTTAATTCACCAATATCCTTTTTCCTTGTATCATTTTTTGTTCTTCTTGCTTGACACAGACAATTAATATAATTCTATACTTATTTTATAGGCAGAAAACAATTGTGAAAATATAATTCTTTTGAAGGATTTAAAATTAACCATGATTTTTAATTCTTTTAACTTTCTTTAAAATTAATAGTGTTTTTCACTGATTACCATCAAATATAGATACATTTCCACAAAAAATGCTCCTGCCATAAAAATCATAAATTGTAAAGCCTAAGGTAACTTCAAGCTATTTTGTTTCAGGCATAGAAGGTATTATCATTCCCATTACACAGATGAAGTAAATAAAGCCTAGAAAGTTCAGTAAATTGTTTAAGATTATCTAGCTATTCAGTGATGAAGGAGAGTGAAAAAAGAGATTAGGACAAAGCCTGCTAGCCTGCTTATTTTTCATTTCGGCACTCTTTCTATTACAATTCAGACCAAGTTATAAGTCTCTGAGAGCAAAAGGAGTAAGATGGTAGCTAGGTCCAGAATATACTGAGTGATCCTACATCCATGGGAAATTCTTCCCATCATTGCTCCTTTGCTGCTATTTCCAAGATTACAAACTTTCTTCCATGTCTGTTAAGAGCAGCAAGGAACTTAGCAATAGACTCCAACTTGGTCTCAGGTATCTGCAATTAGAGAGCATAAATTCCTAGTTGAAAGTTTTTTTAAGCCAGTCTAATTATATAATTGTAGCACTGAAAGGCTACACTGAAAATTAGCTACCCTAATTTTCCATGTTTGTGAGCATCTTCACTTATAAGAAAGTATACCAGTTAATGCATTAGTTCTGTAAAGTGAATCACAGTTTTACTTCTTCAATTCTGCAAAATAACAGTTTAAGATTATAGATACCTACAGTAAAATAAACTACATAAAAACGATGATGTAAAATAGATCTTAACAGCATAAAGGGATAACACAGCATGTCATCAGACTCTAAGTAGTACTGAAAAAAAGGTTTTGCTACAGAAGTTTTTTCTTTAACAACAAAAGTTAACTGGTAAGAAAACTACATACTTACATACATTGTTACTAAGGACTACAAACATATCGCCCTATACAAGTCTCATTATTTTAAAGAGTACATACCAACAGTTTTTTGCCGTACTATACTCCTTGCCTTTTCAGTTCCTGGGGACCCAGTAGTTGTTGCACTTCTCTGTCTCATTGGGGCTTGGCCAGGCTGATCACGACTCCATCCTCTAGAAAATGACTTGTCAACTGAAACTTTCTGAAATTCATGTCCAACTCCTAGAAATGTAGATTTTCAATCTAAGTATACTGTCACCTGATCAATAATCTCTTCAAATTATGTGGGCTACCTTGTCTCAGATCTCAGGTTTACTCACATTGTATTATAAAGTATCAAGTTAAATGCTTGTGTGCTGTTAAGGCTTTTTTGAACCTCATCTTACTTCACATTCCAAAACTGATACAGAATTCTACAAATACACCATCAAAAATAAACTATTATTAAATCCTCTGCCATCCACTTGGCTCCATTACAAAAGAAACATTTGGACAAGCAAAAAAGGTTAAGAGATGAGCTAACCAAAAGCCATCCTGTGGTCGAAGTTAATAAATCTCTTATCTGCCAATAATAGTCCCTTGGGAAATAAATAGCCCAGGAAAAAGTAGTTTGGTCACATAATTAACTACCATGGGCTACTGTTAAATATGAAATGTGACTCAGATATAATCTCTAGCTACCAACTAATTATTACGAACGAAAAATACTAATACATCAAGGATTATAAAAACACGTATTAACAATATAATCACTATGTCCTGTCCCCCTCCCCCTTTGTAACACTCACTAGATACATAATCTACATCTAGGGAATGTTTGCTTTTAGTTAAAACTAAGAAAATGTTTTCAAAACAATTTTCCAAATAATTCTTTTTAAATAGAGTAATATGAAATCACCTAAACTCTAACAAAAAAAATCCCATATAATAAAAAGGAAGAGTATTTTGGTTAATTATTAAAAATAAAATATTTAAGATTCTAAATTATTTATTTAAATTTTAGCTAGACATGTACAGAACACTTTATTTCTCATCAAAATTAGTAATTATTTTAAGTGTCTTCAAGAAAAATTACAAGGCACTTACATGTTTTATTGTTGAAAAGTTTTAAACTTCTGGGTAAATGCAAGAGGGAATAGTTCAGAGAAAACATGACTTTTTTATCCTCACCCATCTCCCTGGCTTCACCCATCTTCCCAGACCAAATTATTTAAGCAAATTTACGTGGAACATCTCTGTGGACAACTCTTACCTTTCCCTTTGTGCTTTTTTTGCTTCTGTTCACTCAGCTTATCCAATGGTAAATCACTGAGATCCAAACTATATAAATTTCTAGCTAAAACTTTAGTTAGTGTTTCCATAGTCAGTGACCACTCAGTGGCTAACTCCTCCCAATAGGTCAATGATGATAATACTGAGAGTAAGTCATCCCATAGTTCTCGAGAGATGTACACATTTAGATTTGCTTTGATCCAGGCAACGATAAGAGTCTATAAAGACAAATAATAACCATGAAATATGTTCAAGTTCAGATATTCAATTATGAAAATATTACCCAAAACAAGCAGAATTTTAAACCACATAATACCCATGATGCTTTCTTGGTACATAATACTTGTAAAAGTAATCCATGCAACCATTAGCATCTACTATTAATTTCTTTTCAACAATGGCCAACTCCCAACATTCTAAGCAATGTGGGCAAGTTATCAAAACTGAAAAGAAATATCCCTAAAGTTGTAACTATCCTTCATGCTGTATTGCATTAATGTTAAATAAAATAAAAGCTGCTTAAAAAGAGTCTCCACACTACTAAGTGTTGAAATTATTGACTAGTTAATGGTTACTGAGCTAAATTAACCAAAACCTACAGTCTCAAATTGAAGATGAAAATCAGTATATAACTTGAATATTCCAAAAAAATAAGTTATTAGAAATATACTTAATGAAATTTCCTGAAAAACTGTATGTAAACTGAAGAATTAAGTTTAATTCTGAAGACACCAGAAGAATTAAAGGTGTTCTATAATAAATCCAGTCATAGAATAAAAAATTTATTAGTTAAAGGGCAGAAATTTCTGATCAGCCATTACTCCTAAGATTATATGGATTTCTACTAAAGATAGAACCTCCTATTGAAACAAGTCATACAAGTTGGTATGTATTCCTATTGAAAAAAGATTTTTTGAAAGCTTCACTCTATATTTTATACTAAAAATTTCACGTTTATACTTTAAATATAAGCTGAAAATGAGCAGAGCTTATAGTATAGAAAATAACCAGTAATTCTCCATTCTAAATTTAAACATTCACACTACAATAAAGTTATTCCACATAGCAAGCTAAAATTGCCTTCCTATAGCTCTCAAAATTAGTTTAGTTCTAACAATTGAGAAATCTTTTTAAAAAGGGTTAATGAAGGGGATGCCTGAGTGACTCAGTAGGTTAAAGCATCCAACTTTCAGCTCAGGTCATGATCTCATGGTTCGTGGATTCATGAGTTCTGGCCCCACATCAGGCTCTCTGCTGTCAGCGCAGAACCTGCTTCATATCCTCTATCTCCCTCTCTTTCTGCCCCTCCCCCACTAGCTCTATCCCACTCTCTCACAAAAATAAACAAACACTAAAAAAGGGCGAGGGGTAATGAAGTTAAGAAGAGTTTAGATAATAAATATAACTGGTTTCAAAAGATTATTCACTACCAGAATAAAATTTTAGGCAAATGAGCACATTTAAAAATAGTAATAATTTGAAAGACTATACTTATGGACAAGAATTAGATCTGAGATAGCTTTTATCTATGATATTAAGAACCATTTTATCCATGTATTTGTAGTTAATGTGTCATCTTAAGAATATATTATTTTGCTATTTTCCAAAGAATCCATGATACATTTAAAGTCAGTACTCTATCCTCAGGTTGGAAAACACAGTAATTCTTATTTAATCAAACTACCACTGATACTTAAGATAAAGACTTGAATAAAGTCTTATAGAAGCAGCACGATAAGTAAGAATTTTTATTATCAACTACTTTTTCACTACTACGGAACAACATAAAACAAAGTTTTGCTTTTCTAACAATGCCAGAGATTTGCAAACTCATAAAGCAAACAATCAGGCCATTACTCATGAAGCTCTCTGGCAGCTTTTTGCAAGCATGTAAATAAATATGCCACACAAGAGAGAAAGTTCAGTATCATCAGCCTGTTTCAATGCTTTTTCACAGACTTGGTATTTCCTTCACTCTGATACTAGGTTGTGAGTGTCTATGTACGGCAAATCGCCTATTTAGATAAGCACTTTTAATTTAGTTCTACAAAAGATCCTTTAATGTGAAATGATCTTTAAGTTAAAGCTTTTTTTCCCAAGGAACAAGTACAGGGCTCAATGAATCTTATAAAAATACATATCTGACCATCTATTTATCTATCTATTTATTTTTATTGCCTGGAAAAGTGGTCCTGCAAGTCGACCTGCCAAGGTCATATTTTTTTTCCCCTGGAACTGTAGAAAAGCTTGTGATGGCATCTTCAGTACAGACTCCGTGACTCTGAGCAACACAAGCAGCATCTGTTCCCTTAAAGTAAAAAAATTAATTAATGTTTCCTTCTTGAATATGTTTGTTTTTGGTTAACAAATAACTTTAAAACTAATATTTATTATAAAATGTATTATCTTTCCATAACTCAAATATCAAATATCTTTCAAATTTTTAGAATTCTTTAAATGTTAAAATTAAAAATTCCATTTTATAAACTATACCAGCCATTTTAAAACCATTTTTCATTCATAAAACCCTCCCATCAAATAAAAATGTATGCAAAGCTGATGAATTGGAGGTGAGAATGTGGAGACTGCTCCCATCCCCCAACCCCTGAAAATGAAGTAGTGACTGCCTTTAGGGAGCTGTCTGAAGAACACTCTAGCTACACAATTTGGTTTTACCTTGATGCCTATTCATCTACTTCATCTTTATAATATGGAGAACAAGTACACATCTAGAAGTGTACCAGGAGCAATGTCTAACTACAAGACATTTTAGGATCAATAGATCATAGTGATCCTGACAAGTAATCAAGGACCATCCTTTTTAATTTGGCCATTTTTTAACCCTTTATTCTCCTTGTGTACTCCAACTCAAGCCTATCCTAATATTTTCTCTACCTTGCCTCTTTCTCCTAGATGCTTATTATTAAGACCATAAAACTACCTTATTTGCAGCTGATAATTTGGAAACTGATTCAACCACATGTGAAATGGGTATTTCAGTTTGGGTATACAGCCAGGCTAACAGTCCAATTCCCTATCACAGCCTCCTCTTTGGTTTGTTTGCAAGCCCATTCCAGGCATAGCAATATGTGGGACAGTCCATGTGAGAAATGTGGCAGAGGCAAGAGATCACAGATCTAGATTCGTAATTTTTTGGGGAAGGGAGGGCAGATTAAGATAGAAAAGTATCACTCAGTGAAAAATATCCTACATTTATTAACAAATAAATCTATGCATTCATTCATAAGATAGAAATCAAAGTTGCCACATTTGTAATCTTAGGCTTCTAGCTTAGCTGTATGAAATGAAAGCTATTTGAAATCAACTACATATGCAATAAAGTATACATTTTCCAAATAAATCTTACATGATTTGTGGTCAAATCAACACTCACTCATCTATAACCTTTTACTTTGTAATATAATAGTAATGATTTTAATTCATAAAATCTTGTAAATTCAATGTAAATATGTGAGTAATCTCTCATAATACTATCACTTCTAGGGAACTTATAAAAAATTTTTTTTAATTCTAAAATCGTGTTCCATATAGCAGTTCTCTCACTTTAACCTGGCTCAACAGCACTGATATAAAGTACATTAAAAAAAAAAAAAAAAAAAAAAAAAAAAAAAAGGGAAAGGGGGCAGGAGACTAACAAAAGAATGGTCCAAAATAGTACAGTTACTGATTAATCATAACCTAGGCTCAGATGTCATAAGGACCGCAATTCAAATCTCAGCTATGTGAACAAAATTGTGTGCCTAAGAATCACCATGTAAAACAGAGATTATCTACCTCAGAGTTGCTACAAGCATTAAGAAAATGCATGTATAGTGCTTAAAGATACCTGGCATAGAAAAGTGTTCCAATTAAGTTAATAACAAACTACTTCCAGATGTAACTATATCAACGTTGCTAATAAAGAATTTTTTCAAAATAAAGTCATTTTTCCACATGCAGCAAAACATATATTAAGCATACTCTTTCACTAAGTACTCCCACTTTTTAAGAATAAGTCAAAGGAGAAAAATGATGTATGTATAAGGATGATCACTGTCTTGTCTCCCCCCCAAAACAAAATAACTACATATCCATCAAAAGATGACTGGTTAAGAAAATTATGGTACATGCAAACAGCATAATACTATATTATGACTATGTATATGGTTTGGTGAACCAAATATTCATCAAAGGGCAAAACAATGACTACCTCTTGAGAGTGAGCTTTGGGGAAACTTTAATTTTCTTTTTACAACTTTTCTTCATTTGATTTTTACAATGAAGATGTATCATTTTTGCAAAAACTGAAGAGCTGCTCTTTTCCCCAAAAGGCCTATTTTTCCATTCAATTAAACAAATATTTATAGTGTACAATACATAAAATTCTATGCTCACAAACATAGGAAATATAAAAACAAAGACAACCAAGATATACTTTTTAGGGCCTCTCAATTCAGAGATAAACAGACAATTTATACAAGTAACTTAGGAATTAAGACAATTTTGACAAGAACTGTAACAGGTATAAACACAGAATGAAAAGAAGTGAAGTGAGGGGAAAGAATGGAAGTAAGGATATGTGGAAAAAGGAAGGTGAAATCTAAGCACAGTTATTACAACAGAAAAACATGGCAAGAATTAGGTATTCTTAAAAAAGGTTCAAGAATGTGTGCAGGAGAAGAGCAATTTGGTAAAGCTGGGAACCAGATTCCATTCTGCAGGGTGGAGTTTAGGCTTAAAAGAGAGAAAAGTAGGCAGGGATCTCACTGTACATGGCCTTGAATGCCAGGTTGAGGAATAAAGCATTCTTATATTTAATCATTTCCGTATACTTTTATTCACACATGCATAATTTCATTTATTCATGAATGTATTCATTTGGGAGAGTGGGGTGGGGGTGTCCACTTTAAAATATAATCCAAGAAGGTTGATCAAAAATGTCTGAGATAAAGTGGAGACTATTGTCATCCTAATTATTACATTAAATATTTCTCCATTCATTAATAGAAGCCTCTACAATACTGTGACAAGCTCTGCTTACAGACACTATCCCTCTAAAAATTATTATATTCATATATACAATCAAAAAAAAAGAATAAATATTTTTTACCAAGTTTTTTTGTCCATTGATACTTGCACAACCATGAACCGATAAATGTTAAGAATGCGTTTACACATATCTGTGTGCTCATCCAGAAGGTTTTTAATTTCATTTGCAGGTTCAAGAAGAAATATGTTTGATGAGTTTATAATAAACACCTAAGACAAAAGAAATAATTAGCTATTCATTATAAAATTAATAGCAAATTTCATATTCAGAGAAAAAAATTTAGATGCTGATCACTGGGTGATCTAGACTATAGGCTAATTCTAACCCTATTTCTACCCCAGCTTGACATTTGAAACTTAAACTCATTAAACAATTGTTTTTATGTTTATCTAGACAAATAAAAAATCACTACTAGGCACCCAAGAAAAATAAACCAAGTGAAAAAAATAAACCATGTGAAAAAGAGCATTTTTAAAAACTGAGAGCTTTAATATAATAACTCTACTGCTGTCATAAAATGAACCAATAAAAGAAAAACTATTTAGAATAAAAGATGATACCTAAATCAAGAACAATTTTCAAAATACCATCTATCCTTTCTTTTCATGTTTACAGGCTAAGTGTGTTTATCTGCTTTGGTAATAACAAACTGCATGAATAGATCATATACTATAGTACCACTAATGAGGATCCATTAATATACATCTTTAATTTATTGTAAAGAAATAAAAAGTTTGTTATAATCAAATAATTTATTGTATTTTGTTATCGAAGACAAAGTTATTATAATGGTTGACAGGTGTGTACAAAGGCTCTTGAGGACAGTTTGGAAGCACAGAACATTATATCTATTGTGAACCTTGGACATTTAGATTTTCTATACCCATAATTCTGATTTAAATCTCCTGGATGAACTACATAATAAAACATAGTTGTGAGAAAAGAATATTAAGCTAACTTTAAAATAGCGAAGATGGGGCACCTGAGTGGCTCAGTCGGTTAAGCGGCCAACTCTGGCTCAGGTCATGATCTCACGGTTTATGAGTTTGAGCCCCACATCAGGCTCTGCACTGATAACTCAGAGCCTACAGCCTGCTTCGGATTCTGTGTCTCCCTCTCTCCTCCCCTGCTCACGCTCTGTCTCTGTCTCTCAAAAAAATGAATAAATGAATAAATTTTTTAATAAATTAAAAAAAAAAGGTGAATAGATGACTTGGTAAGTCTACCAACACTGACCAAGTAGGCACAAATAAAAATTAGACATAAGATAAGGACATAACAACATATCCAGTAGAGAATTTTAACATGATAGTTTCAATGGATAAGTTTATTTGAATAAAACTGAAAAAATTTTAAATGTATTTATTTTGTGGACAAACATAAATTGCTAAAACTAACTCAAGAAGAAATAAAAAAAGATGCATACATCAATAATCATGAAAAGACCTGGTTATCAAAGCCTCCTTGATTCATCCCTGAACACCAGGCCTAGACACCTTTACTGGCAAAGTTTTGCCTAGCATGGAAGGTGATTCCTATTTTAAGCAAACTGTTTCAGAGACAAAAAAAGGAGAACTACCCAATTAATTTTTATAAAACCCTAATCCTGCTCTCAAAAACAGACATGAACTATATAAGAAAATGAAGTAAGAGACCAATATCACTTGTGCCCAAATAGACAAAAGTACTGAAAAGATAGTGGCAATTCAAATTGATCAAAGTATTATCCATATTTTATGACCAAGTAGTATTTACCCCAGAAATTTAAGAATACCTTGACATTAGAAAAGTCTATTAACAAAGAATACCCTATAAACAGACTAAAATGGAAAAAAGGATGATCATCACAATGTATGCAGAAAAAGCATCTAGCACTTACTATTTAAAAAAAAAAAACCAGCAAACTAAGAAAAAAGGTAAAATTCCTTAATCTGAAAAAGAGCACATATCAAGAACTATAATAAATGATGTAACAGCAATTAAACCTAAGAAGTACTGGCAAAAGCCAAGAATAAGACCAAAGTACTCACTATCACCTCATTACCCCTGGAGGACCCAGTAAGTGCAAAAGGAAAGCTGGAAGGGGGCAGGGAGAGGATACAAAGGAATATAAATATGAATGAATTGTAAAAGGAAAGATAAAACAACTATGAGCAATTTGGGAGAAAAGCAGTCCAGACAAAAGAAAAAGCAAGTTTAAAGGACCTGAGGTGCAAGCCTACCTCACATATTTAAGGAACAGCAAGGACTATAGACATAGAGTGGAGTGAAGAAGTGGGGAAGCAACTGGGTAATGATGTTGAGAAACAGAACCAGAGCATGTGGAGAACTTCGTACACTCACAGTGATAAAAGAATGTTTTTCTTCTCAAACTTTGCAGACCAATCCTATTGTAAAATACAATATAAACGAACTAACAGGAAAAAGGAAATGAAAAAAACACATAAAAATATAAACACAAACTTCATCAAAATCAAGAGATATATTAAATGACTTAAGTTTCTAAATTCTTACTCTCAATTTTTTAATTATCTTATAGTCTATGGGCCACATTCTGAGGAGCCTTGATGTAAAGCCTTATAGACCATTAGAAATACTTTTGCTTTTATGCTTAGTGATAATGCAAAACCAGTGGACAGGTTTGAGTAGAAAAATGACATGATCTGACTTAACAGCATCCCTCTGGCGACTGTGTTGAGAACATACTGGCGTGATGGGTGGGCAAGAGCAAAAGCAAGGATACTGATTAGGAGTTTACTGCAATAACTCAGATGAAAAATTATGGAGGCTTGGACACAAGAGGTAGCGTGAGTGTTGAACAGCTAATAGATAGGAGTATTCTGCATACATTCTGAAGATGGCCAGGATTTGGTATCAAATTAGATGTAGGATATAAAAGAGACACAGGAGACAAGGTGGCTTGAACAACTGAAAAACGTGCTATAAACGAAACAAAGAAAACTGCAGGAACAGCATGTTTGCTGAGCAAGGTGAGAAGCCAAATTTTAGATGCATCAAGTTTGAGATGTCTATTAGATATCTAAGTGAAGATGCTACCTTGGCATTTGAATATTTGAGTTCAAGGCTCTTAGAGTTCAGACAAGAGGTCTCAGACTAGAAACAAAATTGGAGAAGTTGCAGTAAATAGCATTTAAAGCCAGAAGAATGGATGAGATCAAACAGGAGAATAGAAAGATCCAAGCAAGACCTGATTCTTGGGCACTTCAACATGAATAGTCAGGGAGATATGAAAAAATCAGTAAAGGGGCACCTGGGTGGCTCGGTCAGTTAAGCGTCTGACTTCAGCTCAGGTCATGATCTCACAGTTCATGAGTTTGAGCCACACAGCTCTTTGCTTACAGCTCAGAGCCTGGAGCCTGCTTCGGATTCTGTGTCTCCCTCTCTCTCGCTCTCTCTGCCCCTACCCAGCTCATGCTCTGCACTCTCTCTCTCTCTCTCTCTCTCTAAAATAAATAAACATTAAAAAAATTTTTTTTAAAAACCAGTAAAAAATTCTGAGAAGTGACCACTGAGTTAGGAGAAATACAGGAGGGATGCTACTCTGAAGGCCAAGTTTTAATAGGGAGGGAATGGTCTATTCTGTCAAATGCTCCTGACAAGTCCAGTAAGATTAGGATTGAAAAATGTACATCTGGGGGCGGCTGGGTGGCTCAGTCAGTTGAGCATCCAACTTCGGCTCAGGTCATGATCCCACGGTTGATGAGTTCGAGACCCCATCGGGCTCTGTGCTGATAGCTCAGGGCCTGGAGCCTACTTCAGATCTCTGTCTCCCTCTCTCTGTGCTCCTCCCCTGCTCACACTCTGTCTCTCACTCAAAAATAAATAAATATTAAAAAAATAAATTAAAATAAATAAAAAGAAAAATGTACATCTGATTTAACAATGTGGAGGTCACATGTGGCCTTGACAAGAACAGTCTGATTTAAAAAATGAATGACTACAATGAACTCCTACAAATCAATATGAAAAAGACAACCCAACAGAATAAGGGAAAAAGCATACAAATAGGCAATTCATAAGAAGATGCTCAATTTCAATGGTGATGAAATTAAATGAAAACAAAGAAACACAAACTTATAAAATAACATTTCACATATATGAGGCAGCAAAATTAAAATCTAACTATATAGTGGGGAAGATACAAGGAAATGAGAACTCGCAGACACTACCAAAGAAAATGTAAATTATTATAATCACATTGGAGGACAATTTGGTAGTAACAGTAAAGTAAGGCTGATAATGTACAACTTCTCCAACCTGGTAGCTCCACTTCTGAGTATACAACCTAGGGAAATTCTCCCACAGAGTACAAAAAAAAAAAACAACAACCCACAACCATATTTAAGAATACTCCATGCAGCACTATCTGATAGTGAGAAATTGGAAACAACTTAAAAAACATCAACAGAAAAATGAGTTAAGTAAAATGTGAAATAACCATAAATTGCAATACCAGAAAGTAGCTAAAATGAATGAACTACAGCTATGTATCAACAACACATCTCAAAAACACGTTTAATACAAAAAGAAAGCACCAGATGACAGTACACCATGACACAATTTATATAAACTTTAAAGCTGTAATACATATATATTAGGAAGCAAAAGTTAAGGAAAAAACAAAATTAATATGTCCTAAGGATAACTGATAAACATGGGTACTGATTTTATTAAAAAATTATACTGTACACTGAAATACTTAAACATATATTTGAAATACTTAATGATTATTTTATTGTATTTTTAAAAAACAACCAAGAAGTGAACCACCTGCAAAACTGCCTGGGTACCAGCTCGTATGTTTTGTTCTGTGGCTTCTTCGGAGGCATCATGAAGAACATCTTGGTAGGTGCCATTTTTTGTCCAAGTAGAATTTCGAACATGATCAGCAACATCAGTCCCATTTTCCTGAAGAAAAATACCAAGTTTTTCATATTTCATTAAGAATGTTGCAACAAGATAATAAGCTGAAGAAGTAAACTGGAAATTATTGGGTCCTCCTACTAAGCATCTTCTCAAAATAAATGTTTCATTTGATTACAAAAGCAATATATGTTCACTGTGAAAAAGGTTCTTCCCATTGACAAAAACAAAAAGAAAACAAAAAAGTCATCCCTAAGAGTCAGACAGAAATTTTATCATTTCAGATATAGGGACATTTTTCTAAGGATATAATGTATGGATCTCCCTTCTGTAACTCACACACTTAAGAATAGGATTATATTACAGTTCTGTAAAACATACATTCCATTCTAAAGTAAATGACAGAACCCAAATAACTTATTTTTTAAAAATTTTTTAACGTTTATTTATTGAGAGACAGAGACACAGCATGAGCATGGGAGGGGCAGAAAGAGGGGGAGACACAGAATCTGAAGCAAGCTCCAGGCTCTGAGCTGTCAGCACAGAACCCGACGCAGGGCTTGAACTCAGAAACCGCAAGATCATGACCTGAGCTGAAGTCAGATGCTTGACCGACTGAGCCACCCAGGCACTCCTAAATAACTTACTTTTTAATGTTTATTTATTTTTAAGAGACAGAGAGCGTGAGTGGAGGAGGTGAAGAGAGAGAGGGGATAGTGGACCCAAAGCGGGCTCTGTGCTGACAAGCAGCAAGACTGACGCGGGGTTCGAATCCATGAACCATGAAATCATGACCTGAGCTGAAGTCGGATGCTCAACTGACAGAGCCACCCAGGCGCCCTTGGAATCCAAATAACTTAAATAAATCAACAGAAAACAGTTTCTATTTGTTTTACTTTAGAGTATTAAAATTCTTATTACCCAAAGACAGAGAATATTAGGTACTTCAAACCACTAAAACTGTATCTTTCTGCCTGAGTGTTAGCTGTCAAACACCTTGCAGACTAAGGAGTTCCTTTAGGTGAAAAGCCGCAAAAACAGACTGTTTTGTTCTCTTTTACTTATTAATTTTTGTAAGTTTCTTTCTAGCTATTTTCTGCTTTTGGTCATTCCTCCACATCTTCAAACAGTCTCTTGTTTTCTTGAATATTCTGTCTAGAGCTTATAAGTGCAATATGCAGGGGATTTATTAGTCTAATACAAACTACTCTGCCATTACCGAAGTAATGGAAATCAGCTCTGTCTGCACAGCCAACACAATATACCACAGTATACTATACCCCTTGTCTTAAACCTCATAATCCTATGATCAGATATCTAATGAACATTTCTTCCTGAATGACCTAAAAGCACCTCCAACTCAAAATACTTAAAAGTTTATTAACCATGTCCTCCCCATTCTTACCAACCCCTCTAGGCACCATAGGCACCACCACCAAACTTGCTTTTGTAAAAATTCCTAGTTATATGTGAATGGCAACTACCCTGTTGCAAAAGAAACAAACTTGGGACATCTCCCCACTCCTCATTTCTCTCAGCCAATTAATCATCAAGGCATATTGATTTTACCACCGAAGCAGCTCATATCTGTCTTCTCCCTTGTATTTCCATTCCAATTTCCACTGTCCTGGGTACTTATGTCCCTTCTGAACATTGCTAATATTTCTACTAGTCTCCTTGCTTCCAATCTACCTTCCATTCTGGGCTTGACATGATCTTCTGAAATATATAACTATCCATGCCATTCTTCTATTCATAATCCTTCAAAGCCTTTCCATTATCTATAATGTAATCCAAGTCACTACAATGGCATATAAATTCTGGCATACACATATAGTATGTATATACAGAATGTATATATATAATATATATATAGTTATGTACAGTAGATATATTCAGGGTCTCTCACATCTTTGTAGATGCTATTCACACCATGTGGTTCCTTCCCTATTTGTTACATGCACTTCATATTATACTACCTCCTGTATGAAGACTTCTCTAAGCCTAAGTAGAGTTAGGTATTCCCTATTTCAGACTCTAGGATCATAGCAATATTCTTTTATAATATTTATTTTTCATGTTTGTCTTCTTGCTAAACCAGAAGTTATGTGAAGGTAGAAAAGATGTCTTTTCATGTTTGTATCTCCAACATTGGTTCTCCATGAGGGTATTACAATATTTTACAGGGCACTCTCGGAGTTTGCTGTCACAAGAATGGAGAATACCACTGAGATTTAACAGGATGAGCCAGGGAATGTTAAACATATTACAAGATGCATGACAGTTTGCACACACACACACACACACACACACGGTATTACATGTCTTTTAAGTATCTCACAGATACTAAGTGAATAAAAAAACACATGTATAATTATCCTAATCTGTAACAACTCCATTTTATAATTAAAACCAAATTTTAAATCATTATTATATATATTAAATTTATCAGAAATATAAATCAGTGATTTATATTCACTGACAGCTCAGAGCCTGGAGCCTGCTTCAGATTCTGTGT